CTAAGTAACTAACGATCTACTTAGATTAAACCAGTGTTTCCCCAAATGTAGTTCTTGTACACCGCCTACTTCATAATTAGAGCAGAGCATATTAAAAAATTAATTGTCCACTTCATTACTGCTACCCCCTCTAGTAGCATAACTTCAGGGTGGCATCTACAATCAGCATTCTTAGAGGCACTGAGGACTGATTAACCACCTACATTTCAGATACCTGAGTTAGACTTTGGGAAGTATTCTCAGATTATGGTGGAATTCTGGTTTCACCTAAAGTCCTGATAATTAAATACAAGAAGCAAAATTGTATTCAGTTATGAGAAGTTTTCACTATAAAAATGATTTTTCCCCCTATAGAACACAAATAAAAATTGCTCTCAAGCTTCCAAATGCTTCTATGTACCCAGAAAAGTTTTCTTAGTTAAGACTCAAAAAGTTGTCCTTTAGAGAGGAAGAACAGCTAATTTCTCTTTAGTTTACATGATGAAAGAATGGAATTGAAACAAGGCTCAGAAAAGGAAAAGGTTTGATGACAAATGAATGAATCAGTTATTTTCTAGAGACTTCCTTAATCAATTAGTTAAGAATCTTCTGTTGTGTTTCTGGATGTAATTCAGACTGCCTGAGGAATTTCCTGAATTATAATCAGTTCTGGAGCAATTTTATTGAAAGCCCCTCACTTGAATTATGACTTTCTACCTACTTCTTTCTCACTTAGAATATGAGCTTATTTTCTAGTGAAGGCTTTGCCAATGATAGACTCATATATGTAAATATATATGGGGGAAAACCCACATATTTTTATTGTATGATATTTCTTTTGATCTTTTTATTATAAAAATAATACATCTTTTTAAAAGCCAACATATACAAACAGTGCTTGGCACATAATAGGTGCTTAAAAAAGTATTTGTTAAATGAATATACGCACAGTCATATTTTCGCAGAAATGAGATTCTTCTGCAGCTTTTCCCCCACCTCCACTCAATGTACAATCAATATTCCATTTCAGTGCAGTAAAAAACACCTCAGAAACCATAGGTTTTAATTCGTGGAGATTGAATGTCCCAAAGCTTTGCTCTCCTGGACCATTTTAGAATCTAGATGTAATGAGAGAATTTTGGAGTACAAGTCCTGAGTTGTTAGGAGCCTTTCCAGAGGCTGACCTGAAGACCCTGTGTAGCCATCTAGTGCCAGAAGTGGGAAACTTTGAAAGTATGGCAAAGGGATGCCTGCTATTTTTTATTTCAGATACAGCCTCCACTCTCAACTATTCTCCCCTGGGGCTTCTGGTTCCTTGTAAAATAAAACTACAGTAGTAAAAAGAAACAAAGTAATTCAAAATAAGATGTGGATAAAAAATAAAGTAGATAATTTTAGTAACACTGTTTTTAAAGCATTTAACTCATGAGGACCTTTAGCATCAGAATCACCTAAAGCACTCAGTAAAAATGCAGATTCCAGGCCGAACCCCAGATTTTCTGAATCACAATCTCGGGGGTAACCCTAAGAATCTCTCCACATGACTCTTAATATACTCTGACATTTGAGGCCCCTGTCTGAGAGCCTCACCCTACCTTGTTCTCCATGATTTGTGAACATGGACGTTTCTACCACTGTAAGGATCTCATTTCTGCACAACCACAGGTAGAGCCGCAGACTGGACATTACTAATTCACTAAATGTTAAAATACAGAGGGACATTGATATTTGGCCTCAGATTAGTTCCTTAACTGTTAGTATAACTAGACTGTATTCAATGAATTAATACATCAGAAATTTATAGTGCTACTTAGTGCTTTGAAAGGTAACTAAGTAATTTAAAAGTTCTTTCCTTTGTGTAAAACCTCTTAAGGTGTAGTAGCAAACTCTGATAGATAATTAATATCTGTTCTAAGTTCACTTACCCAAGTGTATTTAAAATCGTGACTAGTTTTTCTATTTACATATGAGTAGTTTTCACTACTCATACATGTATATATATGTTAGTATCTTGTGTGTGTTCACATGAAAACATAATCTTATCATTCTTATGTAACAGAACGTAAACAACATTTCCCTCTGATGATGTTTTCAGCATTAAATTGAGGATGAGGGGGAAAGTTCAGCTTTAGCTTTCAATATGATAGTGATAACTAACTTTCTCTTGCTGGGTAATGTGGAATTATAAGGTACTCAATGTTAATCCATTTCTACAAATGACCTTATGCATATTCTGTTCATTCAATGTCCATTGGTTCCTGGCACTGTTCTGGACTCAGGGAATAGTGCAGTGGAGGGGGAAAAAAGTAAAAAATCTCTGCTTATGTAGAGCTTAGTGGAGTCTATGTTAACTGTGTCCTAGGGCCTCCCAAACTATGAATTCATTTGTATATGACCAAAGACCCTACTTCTTTTGGATAAATATTAGCAGATTTAGGACACTGATTTCAGGTACGATGTCCTTTATTTTCCTATCGTTTTAGTTTCTAGACACTTTTATCTTTTGAAATTAGGTGATGAAAAGCATTAAAAATTTTTAACATTTTACAGATAGAAGAATCATTTAAATAAAATACGATTTCTGGTTTCAGTATCATATCAATAAGCTGTCAATCATGACATCAGAAAATCATTTGAACAACAGTGACAAAGAAGTTGATGAAGTTGATGCCGCCCTTTCAGACCTGGAGATTACTTTGGAAGGCGGTAAAACATCAACAATTTTGGTAGGCTGAATCTTTTTACCTATTAATTTACTCTGAATTGATGCTTATTACCTTTTTGTGGATTTAGATTCTCATGAAGTATTTGTGGGATGTAGAGAAATAGTTAATGCTTTAGAGAATTCAGACACCAATTTTTAAGAAACTTTTAAAACTAACATAGTTCTAGTCTCAAGTGCTTCCCACACAGTAAACATAAATCTTCTCTGCCCATTCTCTTAAAAGTAGCAAGAGAATATTTCTGCAGAGGAAAAGTTAATCTCTAGTCATGGTAAAACCCATTTAGTGCTCTCTAAATTTGAAATATTTCAAAAAGAAGAGAGACACAAAGCTCAGGAAAAAATTTAAATGCTGAGTTTGATTTTATGGTTTTAAAGCTTAGGAATTAGATATTTCAAAATAAACACATCTCAGGGTTGTTAATGATTTACAAA